GGGCTACCACTATACATCTAAACACCAACCATTTGTTTTCAATTTAACTTCATAGTGGTTGGTGTACTTTCTTCACGTAAGAAACATCTGAGGTAGTTCATGTCATGTTCCAGTATCTCTGCTCTTTTTGTAAGTTCGGCTNAACTTCATAGTGGTTGGTGTACTTTCTTCACGTAAGAAACATCTGAGGTAGTTCATGTCATGTTCCAGTATCTCTGCTCTTTTTGTAAGTTCGGCTAACTTTGTATCCATTTCTATTTTACTTGATTATTCAATTCTGTATCTGGACTGCTGTATGTTACTATGTATATAATTCGTCTCTGTAATCCAAAAGGATTTTTGGTAGACGGACTCACAGCAAAACTTTTAGTTACCAACTCACTTTTATTCTTTAAAAAATTGGTTGGTGTTTAGATGTATGATGGTAGCCCATACACAACTTTTACTTTAAGAGTAAGTAAAGAATGATATTTTGTAATGTATTTATGTCATGTATTGGTTATTGTAACTTTTTATGTTTTTTTTGAAAACTTAGCACTGAAGAGGGGTTGGATGAGTATACCAACCCGAAATGCATATGTCATTTTTTAAAGAATAAAAGTGAGTTCCTAACTAAAAGTTTCGCTGTGAGTCCGTCTACCAAAAAACCTTTTGGATTACAGAGACGAATTATATACATTGAATCGTTTGTTTTATCACAAACCGGAAATCAGAATACGATAATTTCCAATATGATTACTTTTGCCTAATAATATACAGTCACAAATTAAAGGCCCACCAGTGGCCAAGCGGTCTTTATACCCTGAACACTGGGAGTTTGGTCGTGGGTTCGAGCCTCGCTCGGACTGGCTGGCCAGGTGGAGTTTACCGGGTTTTCTCCATGACTGTAACGTTTAAATAGGGGCCAGTTTTCCTTAAAAAGACCTCCCGGAAAGCATCTCCTAGGAAGATCGCCCAAGTGTTGCGTTGCCATAATTCAAACAAACCAAACCACAAATAAAAAGAAAAACTTGCTCTACATGTCACATGTATTTTGCTTCAAAGTAAAAATTAACGAGCATAAGAAACTGACTAATCATAAAGTATGTTTTTCCAAAATGAAACCTGTTCGTATTGAAGCACGTCGAAAAAAAGATCTACTTTGTGTAATAACAGACAATGATTCATTAGCGGAAGATGCTGAATAGATGTCTGAAAAAGATTTTGAAAGTACAGAATCTCTTGAATAAAAAAAACTATGAAGTTTCTGAATCAGACTCTTTGCCTGTGATTGAATCTGAGTTGTCCAACTGACCAGTACAGACGTGTTTGTTTCGTGTCTGACTTTCGATCAAAGTTTCGACCAGTTAATCTGGGATTACATAATCAAATAATACATCGCCGGACTCAGCTAAGTGTCCGCCTCGTGTGGGTAGCAGTTTCATTATCTTCCGCATTTTTTTCCGGATGTTATCCTTCCCGGGAAGGCCAAAGATTTTTCAGGTTTTTCCGAGTAATCGGTTCATCAAGTTTCTATTTAATTAATTTTTTTTATTAATTATTTTTCGGTCGATATAATCCCTGTCATGTCGTTCTCGTATTCTATGTAAATATCGCGTCATTGGGATAATTGCCTTTTATATTACTGCGTTTTATTTTCGGTCAATACAAAGGCCATTGTTTCGTTTCACGTGGCAGTTAGCCACTTGGCGCGTCATGCGCCGCTCAGCGCCCGGCGTCTAGGCTTCGGAAGGTTTCTCCTGCTGGTTTTATTTGTATTTACACTTAAATTGGCACTGGGTCAAGCGCTTGTATTTCGCAACGCAGTATTTACTTGCCATTGTGTGTATCGTACGACATTTTATTATTCCGCCGATCAGCGTGTGGCGGCGCCGGTACGACGTTTGGTGTTGCGTGCTGGACTTCAGTCAAGTTACACTTCATTGTCGTCGATCCTAGGGTACTTGGCAAAGCTCCAAGCACCAGAAGTCTCCATTTGGAACCCGCGTTTCTCAGTTAAGCATTGACAGTCTATTCGTCTTAAGCGGAACAGCTTGGCTTCAAATGCATCATACAACCTGCCCAGCTATTCACTATCAGCCTTCTGTTCCCTCGCTCTCTGTCACGGTATACAAAAACGGCAACTAGGGGTGACATCCCTAGCTAATATATAAATTAACAATATAAATTATTATATATATATTTTTTATATTGTTACAGTATAATTCAGTATATTATTATTTTTATTTGAAATAGGAATTCATTATTATTTTTTTATCTGTCTACTATATAAAACTGAAAACATGGCCAGTTTCTGTGGCGTATCGAGCGCCAGCAAAGCATAGCGGCAAACCTAGGAATTGCAGAGTTCGTGCTCGACTCTTTTTGATGGTATTCGGCATGCATGCTGGTTGATGTGTTATTTAAAGTTAATACACTTGCCGGACAGGCTGGCTTTATATATTTCCAAAGCCTCCAGGCTACGAATATGGTCCGTTTGATAGGCTTACCTAATTAACTTGGTCTTTTAGAGGTCCGCATGCACATCCGGGTAGGTGGCGTATGTGGACAAGGCAGTGGTATGCCTGTTGTACGTAAGGTCGTATTGATGTTTGCTTACACTTTTTCCTGTTGATCGTTTGGTTGAGTCAATACTGTATACACTAATTCCCTTCGGAAACTATCATCCCTTAAAGAAATGGGCCTCCAGAACTCCAAGCCCCTTAGGATGTTTATATTTTTTGCAATAAATATAGGCACTACTATATGATAGTAAAGTTTATTATTATTACTAATTCCAGTTAGCATCCATACTATCTTAATAAAACATAAATTTTCTTCTTTATTTAGTAAATTTATTCCCGTAAATTGTCTAAGAATAAATCTGCTAAATTCAGAGTACTCAAATTTTTAATACATGAAATATTTCGGCTAGAAATTCGTATTAGAACTAAACGAAAGCATTTTAAAATAGATGGTTTATATTCGTATTGAGATCTGTTATAAATTCAAATAAAATATTTAAATAATAGTATATATGTTACCGCTAAAGCTCGAAAGTCGTTAATGTGTACATTACCTAGCTAATCTGCAGATTAACTAGGGTGGTCCGTTAAAGTTGTGAAAATTGTTCCACTTCTCAAATTACGTAGATAATGTACAGATTATCTAGGTAATCCGCACATTACCTACTAGGCACAAATATATGTACCACAAATAGGTGTGCTTGTCGAAAAAACCAATTGCTATGAAATTCAGTGTCACCAATCTTTAGACTGCACTAATAAGTAAGCACAATTGGATTATGTTACCTATGGTGAGTAAAATGGCGGCTCCTCTCTGATTCCAGCAAACAGAAGAAAGGAAACAGTGGGGACGCACGTTCTAATCTAACCTAACCTATTCTAATAAATTACTATAATTATTACCAACCAAATTATTATAATAGGTTAGGTTAGATTAGAACGTGCGTCCCCACTGTTTCCTTTCTTCTGTTTGCTGGAATCAGAGACGAGCCGCCATTTTACTCACCATAGGTAGCATTAACTGCACAATTATTTCATGCAATCATCAGAAAAAGTATGATAACTTTATTATTTTTCGTCTCCGGTTCGAATGTAGGGTATCATTGAAGTCGTCTCGGTCCCCTCAGTTCAGATAGATACTCAAAGTCCCGAAATTCCATAGGTGGTTAACTATATAATAAATTCCCTAATTGTATTAATATTTTAAATCGTTTGATTTTTTTGTATGTTTTTTAATTGGTTGATGATTGATTCTATCAACTAATTTGTCAATTGTTTGATTGTAATAACTTTATTCTTTAGATGTCGAAAATTAAATAAAGAACATTATGTTAATTTAAGCGTACAGAAACGTTGCTTGTTATTCCAGCAAAGATCTTATTTTCACTTCACGTAGTATCACTATTTTTACTTTTACTGAGTGCCTAGTAGGTAATTTGCAGATTACCTAGATAATCTGCACATTACCTAGATAATCTGCACATTACCTAGATAATCTGCACATTACCTAGGTAATTTGAGAAATGGAACAATTTTCACAACTTTAACGGATCACCCTAGTTAATCTGCAGATTAACTAGGTAATGTACATATTAACGACTTTCGAGCTTTAGCGGTAACATATATATCAACATCCCGAAGTCCGACGTATTAATACTAAGTCAAACGATCGCCATTAATAATCGGGCTATTATTGTGCATTAATTAATAATTCGAAACTAAGTAAATTGATACTAGAGGAAGACGTTATGCGCTTTTCGTATATAAATTAATAATTGTAATAATTTAATGAATATATGAAATATATATGTACTAGCAGGTAGGCCCGGCGTTGCTCGGGCAAAAGTAACGGTAGCAAAGATTAAGATTATTACGTTATATTCAACCTTATCCGTTTTCACAGAATGCATCGTTTACTCCTGTTTCTAGACTAATTACAGAATTTTTAGATGGGTCTAAAATTATGATCGATTTCCCGCAAAATGAAAAAAAAAACTGCATCTGCGTCTTGCACGTCGCTTTCTCTTAACAATTCCATTGTTACTTAACACTTCCATTATCGAAACCTTAATCCTGTCTCTCTCTCCCCCGGAAGGGGAATCTCTTCTTGGTGTGCGTTTTCGTGACGTACCCTACACTGTGTACCAAATTTCAACTTTCAACTCCAACCGTTTGGGCTCTGCGCTAATTATTATTATTATTATCATTATTAACTCGTCTCGATTACTGTATATCCAATGAGCCAAGGTAAGTAATTTAAAAGAATGATACATTTAAATACTACAATACAATCAAATTTGATTTTTATTAAAATATAATATATAAATATGATTAACTTTTTCTACTTGTAAGTACAAATTCATCATATTTTGTATACTGTTCACTATGGAAAATAAATAGAAATTTCTTTGAATATAATATAGATTTTAGCAATTAATATACAATTTAAGTTAATATTAATTTGTGTGAAAGTAATTGTGTAATTTAATAATCAGTTTCAGTATAATTTGATTTTAGTACTTCAGTACAGTTGGTTTTAATTCTAGTAACACGTTTCAACTTCACTAATCCTGAGAAAACAGAATGAAGTGTACTTGCCATCTGCAAAAAAAATAATATTAATACAATACGTGACCAAAAAATACACGTTAATAAACTAAAAACTAAACTAACCCTCAGAATGATCTTCTTGTCAATGTGATAAAAACCAGCCAAGGACAGTCTCAATGGAAACTTTCCAAATCTCTTCATAAAGTCAATTATCTGTAAAATAATTAATTTTTGATAAAGGCTTTTAAGAAATTAATAACCATCAGCAACTCGTCATCCCTACTTTTAGCTTCTGTTCAAGTTGTAAACTGCAATCTGCAAGTTGCCGAATGTCTTGGAAGGCATTTTGCATCTACAAATTATACAAATATGTTCAAATGAAACAAAATATTGTAACAATTATATTAAATAATAAAAGTTTTTTTACCGTAAATGCAAGAGAGCATAAGAGACAACCACAGATTACACAAATGAATGTGCAGATGATTAATAATACGAATAACAAATATTTAATATTTTCGAATATTTCTAAGAAAAGAAAAGCATAATATACAAAACTCGTTGCCCAAAGGATACCAAAGTAAATAATCACAAATAAATAATTGTGTTTTGTGTTAAACTGTTCTATGAAAACCCAAAGATCTTCGTGTTGCATCATGAAATTTTTCAGTTTCAGTTCTAAATTTATGTCGTCTCTTCTAATTGCGTACATTTCATTTAAAAGTTCTTCGTATTCTTTAGCTGCAACGAAAAAACACAATGCACCAAGAAGTAAGCCATAAAAGATTCCACCAGCAAGATAACACAAGGATAGATTAATTTCCACGGTACATAATAGAGCTTCACCTTCAAATTTCTGTTTGCTTACCAGAGCTGGATAAGAAATGACTATAGTTAAATACTGATACGCGATAAAGAAGAAATTTACAAAACATGAAACAAACAATGCTACATTGTTGATTAATGCATTCTTTTCCGTTACCATTTTTTCAAGAAAATACTTGTTTCTTAATTTCAACAATAGTTTAACTTTGTTTCTATTAACGAAAGAAAGACCGAATGATGAAAAGAAATACATTAGGAAAAAGAAAATTTTTATCATGGTTTTTCCTTTCTTCACTATGTTAAAAATTCCAGAACAAGGCGCTGTTTCATCCAAACCAGGAATTGTTTGCCATAATAACAGAAGGACATGTCTCCAAAGATTAATTTCTACAAACCGAATGTATCTCTTTCTAATTTTGCTGATAAATGGTGGATTTGTGTCGTCACACTTACAGGTTTCGCAAGGATCTAAACCATAGATAAGGGCTAAAAGCCAGCATGGTTTTAGGAAGCAACTCATACAGATTGTTTCTTCCAATCCAGAATACATGCTTCTTCTTTAGATCTAAAGTGTAGAATTGCCAAGATGCAGAATTTTCAGTAAGCAATTACACTGGTTTCATTTAAATGATTTCGATTGAATTTAACAATTTAATCAATATTTAATCAGTGAAAATCAACAAATAAATTAATTTTATTCTTTTTCGCTATTGACATTTATTACAATTCATTCGAACATCTGCAAAATGAAATTGAAATTCGTATCATATTTTCGATCGGAAGTGATTGATTTAGTAGGAATATTTCATTTAACATGGAGTTGTTTGTATTTTTAAATCTAATCTTACGAATGTAATTGGATATTGATTACATTTGTATTTTTTAAATTGGATATGGTGGATCAATAAATAGATTTTACTTAACAGCAATCATGTTAGAAAAGTTTTACTTCTTTCGTAAACAGTAAATGAGAAATATCGAAAATAAACAAATATTTTCTGAGAAGTAATTTTCGGTAATGTTTCTTACTATTATTTATAATCTTAATACAAATATCGTTTAGTTATTGTTTGATTAAATATGACAACATATTCTATTAACAACAATCAAGCAATTATTCTGAATTAAATCCATTCATTTAAATCTTATTAATGTATAATGAAATGCATATTCGTTCTATTAATACAATATTTCGTAAAATAATATTTCCAAATAAACTAATTTACATCCTGATAAGGTCACTAAGCGAAAGAATAAAATTAATTTATTTGTTGACTTTCATTAATTAAATTGTTAAAATTAATCGAAATCAGTTAAATGAAATCAGTGTAGTTGCTTATTGAAAATTCTCCATCTTGGTAATTCTACACTTCAGATCTAAAGAAGAAGCATGTATTCTGGATTGGAAGAAACAATTTGTATGAGTTGCTTCCTAAAACCATGCTGGCTTTCAGCACTTATCTATGGTTTAGATCATTGTGAAACCTGTAATCCCTTTTTCAGAATTGTCGAGAAGGGTGATTTTCAAACTGTACTGGGGTATTTCTCTTTTGGATCATTGTGGTCTCTGTGCGATCTGCGGGGAAGAGAATGGTGCTGAACACTATCTCTGCAAATATATAGGTCTTGAAACTGAAAGGTTGCAATCGAAATGACTGCGACCAGACTGAATATTCGTTGGCCGTGCCAACATCCAGCCCTGTTAAGAAACAAAGACATGTAAACAGTGTTTTACAACTTCGTTAAAATGCACGAGGTTATCGCCTGTTTTGCCACCAGTAACTGAGACTTGTGTCAACCACTGCAAGACAAAACAATGTTACATGTGTGAATCAGAGGGAAATTAGAAATCGCCCGCCTCTGTCACTATTCAGGATGATACGTCAGGCGAGTGAATGGAGAGTTGCTAGGGCTCGACGATAAGGTAAAGTGCGTAACGAGTAAAGGAGTCTACCATATTTATAATAAATAAAATAACAATTTATTAAACCAAGCGAATTAATCAAAGACTACAGAAATTGCGGTAAACCGTCTAATATGCTCGAGAGAGAGTTTCCCGCTTTTCATACCTCTTTACGGAGTTCCTTGATCGGTTTAATTCGGGGAGGCGCTTAAATGTTCAAATCTATTATCCACAGGAGCACAAATTTAAACACTTCGCGACTTTTGCGAAGATTCAATTCGAGGTTCATCGGAGATCGGAATTCGGCGGGTTCGGAAAGTCGGCGCGATGTCATTAGTCCTGCGTTCGTTCGTAGACTCCCCCGACAGAGGGTAAGAACGGTCTTTTATAGGTTTTGTGGGGAATTTCCACCAAGTGATCGGATGTTCAGGAGTTAATTAAAGGTTGTAGGTGTTCCAGGGATCTAAAACAAATGACGACATTTAGATGCTAACTGTAAACTTTCTTGCAAGACGAGATGCAAGTTCTGCGGAGAACAATGGATGTTGCTAGTTATGACCGGAAAGTTTACACAAGCCCAGCTAAAAATCGGTTTTGCTTCTAGGGCGTTACATAAACGAAAGTTTAATTAATTAACATTTTAGTTAATAAAAGAGCGGGAATTTCGTCACAAAAATTCCGGATCTCACACATGTTTCAATATCAAGTGCTCTCTGCAGTTCCGAACAATAATCCTCTGCCACAATTACTTACCTGTTGTGTAAACTGGGCAATAGAGTTAAATATTCTGTAAAATTGTACTGTATTTTATATCTTTCACCACATCACGTTGTCAACCAAATATAACAGGACCACTTGGTAAACCTACTTTACTGTAAGAAAGCGAGCTACTGTCTGTAACTGTACTTTGTAAATATGTTAACTATTTATTGTTCACTCTCATTTCATTTTAATTTGTACTATCTTTGTAAATGATTAATTTTGTACCTATTACTATTACCTATACTAGTGTGAGATTTTAAAGGGATTTTATTATTATACTAATTGTAAAAAGAAATCATATTATATTTTACAAATTCAAAGGAATTTTCGCCACAGCAATTAAAACAAAAAAGAGATAAATAAAAAAAGTTTACTTTTTTTCTCACAAATTTACTTCCTTCAAAAGTTGTTAGTCATTCGATGGACTACAGATTTAGTAAGCATTAGATCATTGTCAGATGATCTTAATCCTTAATCTCTATTGGAGGAGAAAAATAGTATAAATAGAGGATACTGCTAAAATTCGTGAACAACACATTATTCAATATTCTATAGTCTAACTTAGTGCCATTTTTTATAGATTGAACTTCGACCCAAAAAGACAGGAACGTTACAAGTCAAGAATAATATGGAGGTATTATAATAGTACTTTTGTAAACTCTGTCTCTCGTATCCAGAAGGTAGAATACCTTAAGATTAAGGTCAATCTAGAATTGAAGACTTTTATAGTCATTTTTCTTGAATATTGTTATGTTATAGTATGTAACCATTTTTATATCGTTTTATTAAATTATAGTTTTGTTTTTGTTTAGAAATGAGTTTGTCGATTTCTCTCGATTGCCCCTTCTATGATTCATGCAGACGTCCCCTCTTGATTTTGTTTACGCGAGTTACGGCGCATATTCTAATTACTTTAGCTGGTGTACGGAATCCTGACAGGAAACCAAATTATATCATCGTATGTCTCCACCTTTTTAATAAACACGATTATCGCCATCCTTTGACTTTGAGGCTAATCTAGCCGATTAAGTGATACAAGAGTGCAATCCAAACCCTGTATTCCCGGCCGCTCTCACACTAATTTACTCTCAGCTATACAATGCGGAACCAGAAATGTACGCTAATTGTACGTTAATAAAAATTAACTGAACTGAAAAAACTATTTGTGCTGTAGCCACAAATCCTCACTAGTGACGATTGACCGCAAAAAGTTTTCCACCATCGGTGAAGTGACACACGAGTGTGCACGTTTTAACTCGCATGACATTATTCTCAGGTGTCAATGGACGTGGCTTCCATCGAGCACCGACACGTGACATGCGCATGTGATTTTTCCAAGTCTTTAGTGAATTATCTTACTGTAATTTGTCGTTTTTCACGGAAGATGATGGCAGCTGTATTGATGTTTGTTTCTGTAACTGCAAGGCTCCCGTTTCGCCTTTTTAGACACTTGGCTCTCTGTCTTCTCGAAACTCTTTAAACCATGCACTATCATTATGTGCTTGTTGCAGCATTGCGTAGGTCTCTTGGGCCGTTTTAAGAAGGCCCAAGAGACCTACAGGCAGATTGTCTCAGGCTTTTCTGTCCTACGCTTGTAACACCACTTTGCTTTGAAATTTGATTAATATATGTAAAATGACATTGTCCTTATTGTGGTTTTAGCTGAAAACATGACGGATATGATTAAAACACCTTCTTAGTGCCCACACAGAGGGGGGCGATCTGTTGTAGCTAACATAAACTTCGCTTTTTGTCAAATTCTTGAATATCCGAAGAATGATGACTTTTCTTCAAGAATAAATAGCGATAATTTTATTTGATTCTTTTCGAAATAAATTTAAATTAATGCCATCATTTTTGTA